TGGTGAAACCCCGTCTCTACTAAAAATACAAAAAAATTAGCTGGGTGTGGTGGCGAACGCCTGTAGTCCCAGCTACACGGGAGGCTGAGGCAGGAGAATTGCTTAAACGCGGGAGGCGGAGTGCCAGTGAGCCGAGGTGGCGCCACTGCACTCCAGCCTGGCGCCTGATGATGGAGTGAGACTCTGTCTCAAAAAATAAAATAAAATAAATTGGGCATAATTTTTTTTTCTTCTTATCAGCAACACTAGCCTTTTGTTCTTCTGGGACATCTTTCTTAAAGGAGTGATGTTTCTGTTCATGAAAGTTATTGCTATATTAAACAGCAAAGCTGAAAACAGACTGGGTTTACCAGTTAAGTGAACTCATTTGTGCCATCCTTGTCGCAAACCTTAGCAAAATACATTTTCATGTGCCACAGTCCTTTAGAATCACTTCTGAATATGTCAAGTGATTGTTAAAACTGTTGCTGCAAAGGGTCTGCTGTACTCCGCTAACCTGTTGTAGGGTGGGAGAGTTTAAGTAAATCATTTGAGGAAAGTCGAAAGTATAGTTGCATAATTGTTAGTTGGGCACAGAAATGAAGCATTTACTGTCAGCATGTCCTGTCATCCTCCTTTCTCACAGGCCCCGTGAGATTTGTGCCAGTTGATGTTGCTGCCTCTGGCCACCCTTATTCCCTAGCCGAGCTCTCACAAGCCTCTTAGGCTCCTGAAGAGAGAGTGGCCGTGTCCTCCCATGGCAGTAGTGAGTTGACTAGATTTTCTTCTGATTACTGGAGCTCAGCCCTTATTAGTTTTTCTGAATAGAGAATTTTACTTCTGTTAGTGTCTTTGATTTTCTATTTTTCCCCTGCCTCCTCTTGTTAAATAATACCCTGGCTCCTCAATATCATTTCACCCTGTGTTTTCTGGGGTCTCAACTTACATTTCCACCAGGAGGCTTCCTTAGCACTCCACACTTTCACTGTGACTCACCAGCACGCTGGATCTGTTCAGGTGTTTTTAGCTTTCATAGGAGAAACCATCACTCCTTCCAAGCTGTGAGCCAGTAAAAAGAATGATGCTACTACTAAGACAAGCTTCTTAAAAATTATTTCCCTCAGCTTAAAAAATGGGACTCCTGGCTGGGCGTGGTGGCTTACGACTGTAATCCAAGCACTTTGGAGGCCAAGGCGGGTGGATCACCTGAGGTCAGGAGTTCAAGACCAGCCTGACCAACATGAAACCCCATCTTTTAAAAAAAAGTAAAAAATGGGACTCCTAGAGTTGTTTGCCTTATGAAAGCACTTTGTGAACTAAGTATAGAAATGTTGAGTGGTATTAAGAATACATTTAGAAGAAGTCAGATCCTGCATTTACGTGTATCATGAGCACTTTCATCCTGCCAGTTTATGATCATGTTATTAGTGATTCCAAATCAACTTTTGAGGAGGCATATGCGCTCATAGCTGTTTTCACTGTAGACAGCTTATCTCCTGTGCTGGACCCTTCTGAATTGATCCTGACTCGTGGAACCTTGGATGAAGAGGATGAGGAAGCAGACAGTGATACTGATGACATTGATCATAGAGGTGAGAGGTAGCTGAGGTGGCTCATGGCAACAGAGCATCTGCTTATCCTCACATTGTTTGCCCAGGAGTTTCTTATTGTTAAGCATGTAACCAGTAGTAGTGGGGGAGAGGAGATGGTAAAGGATACAGCACCAGAAAAGAGTTCCCTTCATTGAAAGTTCCTGTCCTGCCTACTGGCGGGTTAATATTGAGCTGATTATAGGCCTTTCATTGGTCTTGTGTCTCCTTATCTTTAGGTCCTAACTTGGTTTGAGGGATCCAGGACTTTTGTTTGTTGTTATTAGGATTTTGTTTGAAGAATACGTAAGGGCTGGGTGTGGTGGCTCATGCCTGTAATCCCACAGCTTTAGGAGGCCAAGGCAGGAGGATTGCCTGAGGCCAGGAGTTCTAGACAATCCTGAGCAATATAGTGAGTCCCAGTCTCCACAAAAAAGAAAACAAAAATGGCTGGGCGTGGTTGCTCACAGCTGTAGTCCAGGCTGCTTGGGAGGCTGGGGTGGGTGAGTTGCTTGAGCCCAGGAATTTGAGGCTATAGTGAACTGTGATTGTGCTACGCACTCCAGCCTGGGCGACAAAGCAAGACTGTCTCTTAAAGAGGAATACATAGGTGGTATGGACTATGATAGAATGGCTCTGGAAACCCAAATTCCGCTTGGCATGGTTTTATGGACTGTGAGCAGAATCTGATTATTATTTTTTGAGACAGGGTTTTGCTTTTGTCCTCCACGCTGGAGTGCAATGGCGTGATCTCAGCTCACTGCAACCTCTGCCACCCGGGTTCAAGCAATTCTCCCACTTCAGCCTCCTGAGTGGCTGGGACCACAGGTGTGTGCCACCACACCCAGTTAATTTTTTGTATTTTTAGTAGAGACAGGGTATCGCCATGTTGGCCAAGCTGGTCTGGAACTCCTGACCTCCAGTGATCCATCCACCTTGGCCTCCCAAAGGGATGGGATTATAGGTGTGAGCCACCGCACCCTGCCAGAATCTGACTCGTAAAACAACCATAGGCCAGGTGCGGTGGCTCACGCCTGTAATCCCAGCACTTTGGGAGGCCGAGTCGGGTGGATCACCTGATGCCAGGAGTTCGGGATCAGCCTGGCCAATATGGTGAAACCCTGTCTCTACTAAAAGTACAAAAAATTAGCCAGGCTTGATGGTGGGCACCTGTAACGCCAGTTACGCGGGAGGCTGAGGTGGGAGAATTGCTTGAACCTGGGAGGTGGTGGCTGCAGTGAGCCGAGAGTGCACCATTGCACTCCAGCTTGGGCAACAAGAGTGAAACTTGGTCTCAAAAAAAAGAAACAACCACAGGATTAAGGTCTGAGCTATAACCAAGAGCAAACCTTGGCCAGGCGCGGTGGCTCACACCAGTTATCCCAGCACTTTGGGAGGCTGGGGTGGGTGGATCACGAGGTTAAGAGTTCAAGACCAGCCTGGCCAAAATGGTGAAACCCCATCTCTACTAAAAATACAAAATTAGCCAGGTGGGGTGGCGAGCACCTGTAATCCCTGCTACTTGGGAGGCTGAGGCAGAGAACTGCTTGAACGCAGGAGGTGGAGGTTGCAGCGGGCCAAGATTACACCACTGCACTTCTAGCCTGGGTGACAGAGCAAGACTCCATCTCAAGGGGAGAAAAAAAAAAGCAAACCTCGTTGTTCTTTGGCTGGGTTTTATATGTAAATTGCCTCATTTAATCAGATTTCTTAAGATGTAATTTACCAACAGTAAAACTCAACTTTTTGAGTATATAGTTTGATGAACTTGAACAAACACATACTTTCTTGTAACCACCATCACAGTTGAAATGTAGAACACTTACCTCGACCCCCAAAACTTCCTCATGCCCCTTGTTTTTCAGTCCCTGTCTTGAACACCCAGTGCCTGGCAACCACTGATACTGCCTTTTCCAGAATGCCATACAAATAGAATCACAGTATTTAGCCTTTTGCATTTGACTTTTTGGACTCAGTAGTATAGTCTATCCATGTTGTTGCATGTATCAGTAATAGGTTCTTTTTTTATTGCTGATAGTCTGTTATTGTGGATGTACCACAATTTGTTTATCCATTCCCCAGTGGATTGATATTTGGGTGGATTTTAGCTGTTATGAGTAAAGTGACTATAAACATTTCCAAATAGATCTTTGTGTAGACATATGTTTTCATTTCTCTTGGTTAAAAATACCTACAAGTGGGACCTTATTTTAACTACTATGAAGGAGGTATTCTTTCTACTTACAAAGAAACATTTTGGGCAGCATGATAGGGCATGCTTCTAGGAGACATTTCCTCTTGGAGAAAGGTGAGTACTTAGTTTCTTAGAAGTAACATACTGTTTTCTGATGGATGGGTGATTGGGGCTTTAATCAGTTTTGTCTAATGAAAGAGAATTGAAGGGCCGGGCGCGGTGGCTCAAGCCTGTAATCCCAGCACTTTGGGAGGCCGAGGCGGGTGGATCACAAGGTCAAGAGATCGAGACCATCCTGGTCAACACGGTGAAACCCCGTCTCTACTAA